CTCTGCCCCACTAGTTCAGTACTTCTCGGGGCAGAAGTCACAAAAGAAGGATGGAGTAGGTTACTGTGAATTCTGGCTTGATCCCTACCCTGGAGATAGATGTCTGAACTTCTTTCAGACATGGTGGAGAGGCAATTCATTGTAGAGAAATTTCCAACAAAAATTTACAAGAATGGAAACCACCTCAAGCAGGGAGACAATGAGACCAGTCCCAGGTGTGTGTGCGTGTGTGTGTGTGTGTGTGTGTGTGTGTGTGTGCTTCATGGGGAGTTGTGATGAGCGTTTATACGGTGCCATCAGTCTTTGGTAACACGACATGAGAAAAACAATGAGTTCTTCTTTTAGATGGCGAAAGGTCTCACCAGAAAACTTGGTTGCCAGTGACATCCGTCTCCCCTTTTGGTGTGAAAATCCCGGTGTTGTGTTTTCTGTCTCTACTCTCCTCAACTCCACTTCAGATAGAATCCTCTTTTAAACTAATCAATTAATCAATTACTTATTTTCAGCCTGATCACAGTGTCTTCTCTCTCCCTCTTCTCTTCCCAGTCCCTCCCCACAACCTCCACTCTCCCCACCCCCTCCACTCCTTCTCCTCAGAAAGAATCTTGCCTAGCAGAAACCAGTTAACATGTGAGTGGATCTGGGATACAAACCAGCCTGTCAGAGAGACTGTGAGGCCTATCACTTAGAATTCTGGGAGAAGACTATATCTCCCCTCCGTTTTGCTACAGCATTCTTGCAGTTCTAAAGGAAGAGAGCTGATGCCTCAGCTCACCTGCAAGTAATACAGAACAAAGCAAATGGGAAACACTGTGGGCTTCCTGATCAGATCTTGCCTGAAGTAGGACCCTCTAGGCAACTTGGTTCCATGAGCCAATAAATATCTCTTATTGTTGAAGCAGTTTAAATTGTAGATCCTCCCACTTTCAAGATCCCCAGGAGACCCCCCCTCCCCGCACATCACCGCCCAGTGCTGGCAAAACACCACCTTTTCCTCAAAAAGATTATGTTTCCTGAAAAACAAATGTGATTTCCCGGGACACAGCACAGAGCCTGGCTTGCTGCTCTTGGGCCCTATAGCAGGAGGGTGAAAGTCCAGTTTTGGCCCCTTCCCACCCTCCTCTCTGAGTCCAGCATTTGCTCTTGTCCATTCCTCTGTCCACGATACCACTTGGACAACAACTTACTGTCTACTAGATTGAACTCAAAGCAGCTCGGATACTAGCTCTGAAAACCAGGCAGCCCCTATGCCATTCCTATGTCAAAGAGTGGGTGACTGATTAGGAGAGGGTGTGAGTGTGTGGCATCTAGGAGAATATGAATATGTGTGAATGCAAGTGAGTGCAGTGTGCAGCACTCCAGCCAGTGGGAATGCGGGTCAGAGAGAGCCTAAGTGTGAATAGTCTACACACCCTGTGGGGCAGCAGCTTCCGCGAAGTGCTCCCCCTAAGGGTGCTGCCAAACATGCCCTAGAGAGAAAGGAAGCCTTCAGGGCCTGGAAATGACCACTGAGAAGTAAATCAGCACTGCACTTTACAAGACACACTGTCTTCTTTTGGCAGTGCTGAGAATGAAACCCAGGGCATCACATGTGCTGGGTAAGTAATGTAGCACGTGGGTACAACCCAGAGGCATCCCCTTTGAAGGAGTGATGCTTCAAAGGTTCTGGAAAGGGGTCAGGGCAGAGAACAAATGGTTACTATTGTTTGTCTTTAAATAGTAATGGAAAACACTAATGTTTGAAAACCTGTAGTCTGCCTTCTGGAATAGGAACCAGGGTCCCCAGGTATCACCTAGGTTAAAGTCACAAATTCCGCAGACCAACCTGTAGCAACAGCTGGAGATAGCACTCTTGATTGATAAGAGAACACTGCCATTCATTTCTTGGTGGTGCCAGACTGCAGTGAAAACTCAGGGCCATCAGGTCGCCAGTTTAAACCCAAAGCTACCAGACAAGTTATTCAGACTTCCTGGTTTCCTCCCTGGCAGCTTCTAACTCTTAGGCTCTTTGCACTACTCACCATCCACACGCGCAACTGTGCTGTGGATTCTCTGTTCGCTGCTTTTGTTGGGAGACAGTTTAACTCACGACCATTTAACTTCTCACTGGCCCAGCACCCCGACAAAGAGGGCTCAACTCAAGAAAGGCACACATGACCTCCGCCTGCAGCAGGGTGCATTTGAGTAATTATAACCACGTCTAAGCAACACCAGTCATATCTGGGGCCAAGAGGAGGAGACAGCATCACTTCCGAAGCCGAGTTCTCATCCCAGAGGATGTGAGTCACCCCAGGCTTGATCCTTCAGTCAGGATCCTTCTTTGTCAGGGGAATCAGACATTTTCTGGTTTGTGACTTCTCCCAAACTATGTGGCTACACAGTAAGTCTTTACTTCTAAAACTGTGCCTGCGTACCTTCCCAGGGTGACTTCCAGCAGTCCAGAAGTAAAGGGGTGAGGCACTGAAGCATACCTGTTTACCATTCGGGAACACAGCTGGGATTCCGACTTAGGACAGGCTGCCTTTCAACCGAGCCTCATCACTCAGGTTTGAAAGGGCGAGGTTTCCAAGCCCAGACTTTTCAGCAATTCTCTAAATCAAATCAGAACAAACTTCTGACCCAAGGATTTTAAATTCCTCATTTTTTTTTAAAAACCAGAGCTTCATAAATAAGTGACAGAGTATTCACAAATATACCAAAAATATTATTCACCCGATGATCTAGTTGAACAGGTGGCCTTTTCTCCAGATGAGGGGATGATGACAACCAACATTCAGTGGGGTTGACTATGTAGCAAGTCCTAGGCTCATCACTTTTCATCCATTAAGTCTCTGAGGGGTTCATCATTCCTGAGAGGTACAAACTGTTATTATCCTCACTGTTTAGATGGGTAAACAGTGGGAAGGGAGTGGGAGAAGGAGACAGAGAGAGGGAGAGGAAGAGGAGAAGGAGGAGGAGGAGGAGAAGGAGAAGAAAGAGGAGGAGGGAGAAGAGAAGGAGGACAGCAAATATGAATCAGGCAAGGCTTCCCTCGGTCCAAGCTCTCTGGTCATAGCCCATGCTAACTGGCTCACTAGATGGAAGCACAAACTTAAACAACCTTTTCAAATCAGAGCAAAGGAAAGACACAGTGAGGACACCCGACACCACAGGAAAGGGACACCTGGAATTTGGAAACGTTGTTGCTGACATTTCACATAGGACAAGGTGTCTACTTTCAGAATCCCTGCTCCCTTGCTAGCCTCAAAGTTGGTGAGACTAAGCAGAAGCAGGGAGAGACAGGATAAGGGTGGGGGAATGTGGACTGCCTGGAATGGACAGTCCCTGGGTCCATGGCCTCCCTTCCTTCTAAGGGTTAAAAAGAATCCATTTGGTTGAGTTTCTCTGGAAGCACAAATGACTAGAGTGTGTTGAATGGGGTACTTATAGATGCAGACCTTTCTACGCATTGATTTTCTCTGGTCCTCTAAGATGCAGAACTAGAAATTAGTCTTGCCAATCACTTAAGGTTTATTGTAGGAAAGAGTTAAGGCGTGGTTGAACGCTGGAAGGGGAGGATAAAGTGACAGAAGAGAGGCTGAGAGGGTGCCAGTGACAAGTTCCACATGCTTCCCAGATCCCCTACTTTCAATGGAAAGTTTCACAGGTTATCAACATCAATGGCGGGTCAGTGTCAACATGGTCTCCTCTTTGGTCCCACTGCTACTCATATATCTGTCACAGTGGTTCCCATGGCAACTACTATACTCTTAATACAGTGTACAGTGATTGGCATACATGCGATGCAATAGTCACTTGTTGAAAGATGGATTAAAGACACCTGACTATATCAATGCTAAGCTCATCGGTAATGTTGATAAAGAATAATTATGATTTACTGAGTACTCATAGACTACGTACAAAGGCCCAGAAATGTTAGACCAACTCAAGGTCACTTAGGCCAGATTTGACTCAAGGCAATTTGATGCTCCAATCACCTCTCCCAGCCTCATAGCAACTCCCCTGACTGAAGGCAATTATGGATGCATTCTTTCTGCCTAGTGCTCAGATCCTCTGCCACCATTCCTCCCTCTCCAGAACTACACTGGTATAGTCAATCACGTGCCGCTGACATCCTACTTCATAACCAGGCTTCCCCAGATGTCTTCATATTTCTAAGGCAGAAGAAATATGCAAAGGGACTTGAAATAGCCAGGGTTCCCATCGTCCCATCTTCTCCTCGCTTGCTGTGGAATTGGGCTTGATTGCCTCATTTATCTCAAGACAATGCGATGGATCCACTGCGCATCCAAATGATGTGTGACTTTCCCTGAAGCTGCAGGATGATGACATTAAAGCTGTGTCTCAGATGCTGTGAACTGCATAAAAAAGCAACAACAACAACAAAAAATGTATGATCTGCCCAGAAAAGAAGTGGAGGGAACTTTCTAGCTGCCTAATAACTTCTGGTTATGTGAATGCTGATAAACTTCCACGGGCAGTTGGAACCTTCTGGAATTTGTCCATTCTGGGCTGTGGTGGTACATTTATTACTGAATCTTTATTATTAAGTTTGGTTTCTTCTCATAAGGGTGGGGCTGGCCTGGGGGAGAGGTATACACATGGAATGGTTTTTACCTGTGCGCCTCAAGACGAGTGTTTCCATGTCCAGAGCAAGACGAGTAAACGTCATAGCTAATTTCATGTATGCATCGCTTTCACAGGCGAGAGTGGGATACAGGGAAGAGATGCCTTGCTTTAGATGTGTGCAAAACACTTGATACCTGTTCTGAATATGCCAGATGGGAACAGCGCGTGCCTCTCATAACTAAGTCCCGAAGAACAAGACTGCCCATCTGGACCATATTTAGGGGGTGAAGATATAAAAACCAGTCTACACTAACACTAGATTCTCTCCCCCTCTTTAACACATTGATACCATGTGGCTAAAGAACCATCAATCTCAGAACACAGCCACACCTTCTTATCAGCAGGGAAATGATGCTTCCTTGTAATTAGAAGGTATTTCTTCAATGAAAGCCCGGCAGGAAAGTCAGTAGTGGCAGTGCATGATGGCGCATTTGGATTGATAGGGCCTGCTTATCGCTACAGGTAGGAGTGCCGAAGCTGGATCTGCCAGTGGCACATTTCAAGGGGTGGTACTTTAATGCCAGCACAGGTGCTGCCGGAGGGGCAGTACATATGCAGAATTAGGTTGAGCAGCCTTCTGTTGGTGGCTGAATAGTCCCCCAGGAACACCCATATGAGCTCTGTCTACATGGCTTCTGTTTATAATGGGATACGCAACAAACAAGTCTTCTAAGGTACTGACTACTGCCTTATGGGAAGAAGGGGATCTTGAAGGGACTGGGAAGATGGCCCAATGGGTAAAATGCTTTCTGCTCAAGCATGAGTACCTGAGTTTGGATTCCCAGCATCCACATAAAAGCTGTTTATGGTTAGACACATCTTTAACCACAGTCCTGGAGGATAGAGACAGACAGACCCTGGGGGCTCATCAGCTAGTCAGTCTGGCCAAAACAATGAGCTGCAGGTTCAGAGAGTGACACCACCACCAGCACCAGCACCAGCACCAGCACCAGCACCGCCACCGCCACCATCACCACCATCACCACCA